GATAAGTACAATTGATGATCTATATCTATATCTAGATATTAATCATTTACATTGGCATCAAATCATAATTTACAATGTGATGAGGGCAAACAAAATCATAAATGTTCATTGATATTTTCTGTATTTGTATATGGTAACCATTTCCATGACAAAGTAACCTCTCCTCTCTTTGTCACCCTTGTCTTTCTTCCTCTCTGACCCGTCCTCCTCCTCCTCTTCCTTTCTCTTCTTCTTCCTCCTCTTATCTCAGGTTTCGGCCTACATGCTGGAGTTGTACAACGACCGGCTGCAGGACCTCTTTGTGAGCCCGGCTGGTGAGGCCCATGCTCAGCCTCCGTCCCATGGTCAGGTCAGGCGGGTGGAGATCAAGAGGAACCGAAAGGGGGTTGTGTTCGCCCAAGGAGCAGAGACAAAAGAGGCCTCCAGTGCCCAGGAGCTCTACGCTCTGTTCCTGCAGGCCTGCGCCAACAGACACATCTCTGCCACCAGTGAGTTCCTCTGTGGCGTGCCGTGCTGCCCGGTTCAACAGGGCCCTGCTAAATGGTTTGGATTAATCCTGTTAGTTACAGTCAGTGTGACGGGGCGGCAGCTAGGTACATCATTACTGGACCGGGTGGTGAGTGAGCGAACTTTGACTCAGCATACTGTAGGAAGAGGAGGAGCATTGTTTTAGGATGCACACAGGTCATCAGAGTCATTCCAGGAGGCATTGAATGTTGTAGGGACGACTACGCACTGTACAGTTATTAACACCAGTTACAATAAAGCTCAGTTTCTTTTAAGTATGAAGGAAAGGCTGGTACAAAAAATACAGAATAGAAGGGTTAGTTTGATGTTTTTATTTGTACGTGAAATATTTCTGTCAATATTTAATCATAAAAATGCTTGACTTGAGAGGAAATTAGTATATGGCAAGTCATTTTGTCTATTTGGAAAATTGTTTTCGTAATTTAGGTGATTTTTCAAGAAGAAAAACAGTATTCATACATTAGTATATATTTAAAATTGTATTTGCATACAGTTATTTACAAATACAGTACTTCTGCACTATTTTCTGACATTTCATAAACAAAACACAGATTCAATTTATCCTCATGAGGATCTGAAGAATCCACATTGATTAAAGTACAATAATTGTTGGTGTCCGCCAAAGTGTCTCAACATCCACAGCTATTTAAAGTCCAATCAGGGCATTTTATGTTGTGTATATGTTTCCCAAGAGATGAATGTGGAGAGTTCCCGCTCCCATCTCATTGTGTGCATCATGGTGGAGAGCAGGAATCTGACTAATGGCAGCGTGAGCACCGGGAAGCTGAGCCTCGTGGACCTGGCAGGAAGTGAGAGAGCAGCCAAGACCGGGGCCAAAGACCACCAGCTAAAGGTTAGCTCAGATGTTGTTTTGGGATTTGTGATAGTAAGGATGATTGAAAGTTGATATATCATGGCCTTTCTAAATTCTCCCCTCCATGTCTCTGCAGGAGGCTAACTCCATTAACAAATCACTGAGTGCCCTGGGTGATGTGATCTCAGCCCTGTCTGCAGAACTGCCTCATGTACCATACAGGAATAGCAAGCTGACACAGGTAATGATAGCAAAAACAAGCAGTATTCTTTGAAGTTTTGTGGTTGTTGCAATGACCTATTAGCTGGGTATGATTTTTGTATTTGAAGTCATGAACCATAATGTGGACTTGCAGGTCAGCCAAGTGTGATCTGTGCTTTTCATCTCTTTTAAGTCATTGTTTGCAACAAAAACTTCAAATGCTACTGTGGTGCTCAAAGCTGTTTAAGACAGAGAATGTAAATAAGTCTGTTCCATCTACAGTGACCCACCAATGGAAAGGGAAACACTGAGAGGACACTTAGTCTAAAACATAATATTATAACAGAAACAGGTTGATGATTAAAGCTTTAACAAAAAAACCTACCTAAAAAGCAATCTGTTGGACAGACATTCAAAGAGGAATCATACTTGTCGGCAGTTAAGAAGGAAAACTATCTGCAGCTTAATATTTATGGTCCTTGCATCATCTTAGTTTGCATGTTTACTCCAGTTGGATGAGGTACCACTGTATAAATAGTTAAATGTGTTTATTACTAAATCCCTGCCAAGCTTAATCTTCCGTTTTCCTCACTAAATATAACCAACCGAATCCTCTCCCAAAACAATTCCCTTTCCCTTTATTTCCTGGGTTAAACCCTAAACTGTGAGGAACACAACACCTTATTAGTGCCATGTGGGAGTTGAAAGCATGGGATTGAGGGACACACTAGATCAGGGGGTTTAACCTTAAAATACCTTAACAGTATCATACAATGTATTCCCTTCCCTTGTCAGGTGATGCAGGACTCCCTGGGTGGAAATGCCAAAACCCTCATGATCGTCAACATCTCTCCTTCTGAATGCAACCTTGAAGAGACCCTCACATCTCTGGTGTAAGAGACAACTATAGATCCATCTATTTTAAATATCTAAATGCTATCAAACTGCTAAATAACACATGAACTTCCTGAACTGTCCAGTTATGCAACCAGAGTGAAGGCCATAACCAACAATGCACAAAGACATGTGGAGAGCAAAGAGATCGCCCAGCTGAAAGAGGTATCTGTTCAGAGACATTAATCTATAGAATTAAACAAAAAACATTTGATAGGCACATTGACACAGTTACGCTAACTATATTTCTTTGTTTTCTTTTCCATTTAGGTCATCATTAGGCTGAGGTCAGGACAGACAGTGGAAGACGAGGATGTTTGAACCTTTCAAACAGCAAAGAAAACTATTCATTTAAATATTTGAGTAATTGGAATGTGAGAAACCTATTACTGTACAACAAATATTCTCATTAATGTTCTGTTTTTTTACTTTAACATGTCACTTATAAGAAACATTTTCTCAATATTTCCAGAAAAAGTACATTGGTTTTAGCAAATAATGAATTTTATTTTCCATTTGATTGGAATTATAAAAATTATAAAACAGATTTTTAAATGAAGTTTGGTGCCTGGCTCATTATCTCCTGACATCTCATTATCTGCCAAATAACTCTGGCTTACTTTGTTTCCTGAAGTATGGTTAATTATTTAAAATGACAAGAAGCAATCGCATTAACAACAAACTTACTGCAATAAAATATGTTTGCTGCAATTCCTGCTATTTTTTAAATATGAAACATGTGTCTAGTTGGCTACACACCCATTTGTGTTACATCACTAATAGGCCAAGGCTGTGCATGTCACCGTATAAGGTTCAAAGTTAAGGCATCAGTGTTTCCCATAGAGGACACATTTGAAATAGACTTTTGTGTACAATAGCAGAGTAAAGAGTGTGTGTCATTTCTTGTGTGGCCTGTCTTTTTTGTTTAAGATATGCTTGCTAATGAACTCTTATTTATCTACCATGTTTTTTTTGCTTAATTCCCTTAATGTTTCACATGCAGGGATGGCTGACATCACCCTAGATGCATTCAGGGGATTGCGTGTCGTTTGTTAATGTGTGCTGCCTGCCTGGCTCTATAGAATGAGGCCCCCACAACACAGGGCCCCACGTGTAACTGAAGAGGCAAATTGGAAGTCAGCTGGTTATCCAGTTTGCACTCCTATTGTATGAAGGAAAAGGCAAAGAGTTTGTAGCTCATTAGAGAGGTTAAGTTTCCAGGGCCTATGACCTGTTCCTATAACGTTACGGGGTCAGATCCCATGGCTGGGAATGCACACTCTGAAACATGCAAAGGTTGTTGTTGCTTTTTTTTTAAGCCAGGCAGCGGGTTCACAAAAAATGTGACATATGACAGAAAGTACAGACACAAGTATTAAAATGTCCCGAAGTGGGAAATTAGCAGTTTTTTGTAATTTGTAAGCTAATGGGCCAATACATAAAAATTAACATGGCCTTGAGGTTTTCTTTCCCTTCATACATTCATATGCACATAAAGCTATTTGAATTGAATTGCTACTGTTTTGATTAAGTAGCTATGTGTAGCAGAATAAGATTTAGTTAGAAATGTATTCTACTTTGGCTAGTTTTTTGTCTCACTATTGAACCTGGCTCAAACTATCAAACAGCCACAACAGGCAAGGCTTAAAACAGAAATCATTTGAGCCAGGGTGGCATGATAACAGTTTATATAAGAAGACCGTCTTTTCTCCTCCCATTTTAATTGTTCAGCATTTTTTATCTATACCGCGGGCCTCACAAGTTCTCCCCTTTGTCACGTCACATTAGAGCCATGACTCCCCAGCATTGCGTGCTGTGTGTTGTTGGCTGCTTTAGATCAGCGGCCACTCAGCACATGTTCCCTGTGATTTGTTATTCTTTAATGACGGCCATAATTTGAATCGTACTGTGAGCTCTGTGGACAAGAACAAAGTGAGAGGCAGAGAGTACATGGAGAGGGAACAGGGTTGATGAGGGGGCCGAGGTCTCATCCTCTGGGTGTGTTTGGATAATTCATTGACACAAACCAATTCACCACTATAAATGGTTTGCATACTGTATAGGGCCACACACAGGCCAACTGGGAATGAAGCCTTTGATAAAGTAAATGGTTAAATGGCTGCTGTCATGAGATGGCGTTGGCATTTTTAGCACACATTAAAGACACTCTGAGATGCTCGGTACATTTACTATAGCAACTTTATTGTGATAAATGTGGCTTGCAAATAAAAAACTATTAAGTTAACATATACATTACATAACTTACATACAAGTTTGTCCGCACATAGTATGATCATCACCATGATATAGTTTGCAGTTGACATTCATTCATCTGGTTTTACTCAACACTATTTAAATATTTTAGTACTTTTATCTCAACACGAGTCTATTCGTACCACTTATTCTGCTTTCCTTATTAGAAATCCCCAAAAGTCTGTTGAAATTACTATTACGACAACATACATACTACTTTTAGTCAAATAAAATTAAAGCAATTGAACATGTTTAAAGTTATGAATATTTGTTTTAATGATAAGAAAAAAGAAGAAGAAAAACCATCCCATAGTTTTATTTCATCAAAACCACAAAACACAACAACAAACAAAACATTGCCATCCCAGTCCAAGTGTTTATTTTCTACTAGGATACATATTATGTTACTTTGATATTGCATGACCAATGTAATGACTACTTAACCTGTATTCTCTGCAGTGTCATTAACATGGAAATAATAACTGTTATTCCCCACAAATCACCAAATGAAAATTTGGTGAACGAAATTTTGTTTTAATAGTACACTCTGTGTCTTGTTGAAATGACAATAAAGTATGTCTAAATCTAAATGTATTTCCTTGACTAAATATTCTCATTTTCCCTTCAAACAAATCTATGAATACATATGTTTAAGTAGTTTAACTACTGTACACAAGATGTCAAGTAGTTCTGGCTACAAACATATACTGTAGTGTGATAACGGACAAATGTTGTAGTATAATCAGCCTCGTAGCATCAAACTGCACACACATCTTTCTTAACTGGGAAGCCACACATCTAGGTGAAGTAAGAATAAGTAAGACAGGATTTGATAAGATTGTGGTCATGAAAGTTGTACACTCTTTAATATCTTTTTCTGAACTTTTTAAAGGTTAATAAAATGCTACGGCCAGAAGGTTGTCAGTTTTAATGCTCTGAACTGAAGTGACCTATTGTTCAACAACTCATTAGCCAACACTGCTGAGTCCTGAAACTGCGGTAAACAGGTAGGACTCTGCTGGAAGGGACAATGAGGTCTCCGTAGATTAGTTAAAGTTAAAAAGAGATTACACTGTCATCATCCTAACTTTCAAACTATTTAAGGACAAGTAGTTCTGCCCGGCTAATATTTTCTCTTTACCCATTTGGCCATGCTTCTTTACATTGACCTTCTTAAAGGAGAAATGCCTGATTTCACTCAGTGCTGTCCTCTTTACCTCCCTTGTCTGTGTGGGAGGTTGTGCACAGCACTGATGGGCGAGGGGGAGCATGTTATAAAGGATTGGAAACTTTCATGTCTTAATATATATTTTCGTTCCTCACAGAGCCACTCAGTGAGAATTTGAGCAGATGAGTAGGCTCAACAGTGTTTGCCTTGAGGATAAGATGAGGAGATAAGAGAGTTGGAGGAGAGAAGTTAAAGCGTTGAGGAGGAGGAGAGGGCCGATGAGAGTGAAGATGAACTCTGCGTGAACACAGTTTGACGCCTGAGGCTATATCTCTTCCTCCCTCAGTGTTTAACTGTAACTAATAACTTAAGATAAAGGCATTTAATGAGCGGCTGTTTTTGAGCTTGTTTTAATGTGGTGGGACAAAAAGTCAGAGTGACTCTAAGTATCGGCACGGAGGCACTTTGAATGAACTTCCATTGTCATAAATAGTGTGTTAAATACAAATATTGAGTTAGTCAAATCTAATGCTATTTCTATGTAATTTTAAATGTCTAAGAAACATATTTGCACATAAATGTTTCCCTTTTGTGGTTGATATTTGTATCACATTTATAAAGACAGAAAATGCAGTATGTGAACAATAATATAAGAGAGTGTATCTCTGTGGAGTTATTACCAAATATAGTGGCTTGATGCGATAATAATCAGATTTTGTGACATTCAGGAACATCCACACAGAGGATCATTTGGTCTAAAACCTCGAGGAGATGGTAATCCTGTACGAACGCGGCTTCATAGTCAGTCCAAAATCAGTGCTGAGATCCAGCTCCTGTCCGGGAACATTTTCAAGCCGCAGCCCGTGGAGCAGCGTGGTGATAAAGATAAACATCTCCAAACGCGCAAAACCATCACCGAGGCAGCGTCTCTTCCCCATCCCAAAGATGAGAACCTTCTCCGTCAGCTCCTTGTTGAGGAGTCCCGAGGGACCCAGGAAGCGATCAGGGCGAAATGTGTCCGGGTCAGCCCAAAGATCTCTGAGAAAGAGCGGACAACAGGAAGATATGGGCAATAAAGGAACATTTTACTCAATTGATACAGTCCATGTCCCACGATATCTAATTTAACATCATACTGTAGTCATCATTGCTTGTTACTACTCACACATCATGATTGACTTGGTACTGGTTAATGAAGACACATGTATCTTTGGGGATGAAGTAACCATTCAGACTGACGTTTCTCGTGGTACTGGAAGGTAGAAAAACTGAATTTAAACCAAAAAAAACATACAAATGTACACATGAATGTACTGTAAACGTAACTGCTGTCTTACCAGTGAGGGATTGTGAAAGGGACGTATGAAGCATAGCGATACACTTCATATATGAACGCCTCTGTGAAAGGCATCTTGGGCTTATCTGAAAACCTGGGCAGTCTGGCTGTGCCAATGTGGTTGTCTAAGAAAGAGGAAAAACACAAAACCCATTAGAAAGTTGCAGGAAACTGAGATGCCTATATTTGAAAGGTAGCGGTCAATGTAGAGAGGTGAAGCCATTCCCGTTCCGGTCCTTAAGATTTATGCAGTCTTTCAGCCCCTGACACTTAATCTGGATCTCAGTTTTTCTGATGAGAGTACAGCCTAGGAGAGGTCTTTACAGATACTAAGACTAAAGGTGCATTGAGGTGTAGATGGGAAATCAAATATTTTTTACTTTTCATCACAAAGTTGCCTGAAATAGCTGACAAAAAGGTGGCAGTCTATTAAGACTGTTCAATGATAGCTAATAAGGACCTGTGATTAATATGTCAAGGCTAAGTTCAACTCTTGAGCTGTATCGTAAGTTTCTGACATAATTGCATTATCATTGGTTCTCTTTCGAGACCGTAAACAAGTCAAAAGTTCCCTGTTTTGTCCTTCAGTTAATTCACGGTTAGAGCGTGTGAGTTGTGGTGAGTGTTTCGAGTTTTTAACATGCACATCACAAATAATTACAACGACCTAATGTGCTCGCCTTTCATCATTCATTAAAACTCTTGTTCACTCGTTCACTAATAAGGTTTCCAGGTGAGCTTTACTGTAAACAGACGGATAAAAGCTTCACAGTCAATTCACTTTTGTTAATTTACAATCAAATGAAGTAAGTGAAGTATTTTGGACTTTGTGCGATCACATAGTGTGCCTTGCGTGTCACCGCCTTTGTGCCAGCCTGGGACAACTCTCTAACCCTTCTTTCTTTCTCTGGCTGTTTGTGCCTCCCTCTCTGATTCATCCTGTCTCCTTTTAGTGTCTCCCTCTCTCTGTGATGCAACGTGCCTCAGAACAGACAGCACCAGTTCAACCCACTCCAAAAGTAGCTCTAGCGTCAGCAAATTGGACCAATCTTTTGTGAGTTTCTCTGGTGGCTGACAGATTGTGTGTGTCTGGGAAGGGCACTTGATGATCATTGTATGGTTTTCATTATGTTGATTCTGCTTTAAATGGTGACTCTTCCTAACATGTCATAATGGCTACGTCTGTGATTGATGATGATGATGATGATGATGATGATGATGATGATGATGATGATGATGATGATGATGATGATGATGATGATGATGATGATGATGATGATGATGATGATGATGATGATGACTAATCATTTATTAGAGATCTTCTGTTTCTGGTCAATGAGTCATTCATGAGACCCCAGATTGGATAAGCCCTCCCTTTTCAGCATAGCACAAATTATTTCTCCTTAGATAAGATGCATGCAGTTTCTAAAAAGGAAATGCTTATCCTGTAACACAAGACATTACCTATCTCCTGGTGTACTCTGTCTTGGATGTCTGGAAACTTAATCAGGTACAACAGGCTCCACTGTAAACCCGCAATGATGGTGTCAAATCCTTTAAAAAGAAAAGAAAACACCTACAGTGAAAACAAGTTATATTCTTCATCAATATGCTCAGTTTATAGTCATTACCGACCCTATTTATCGATGAAATGAAACTTGTAGTGGGGCTAACCTGCTCCGAAGATGTCTATGACGGTGTGAATGATCTGAGAGTTGGAGAGCAAAGAGGAATCCTTATTTTCTTCTCTGTCTTCACACAGTTCAATCAGAGAATCTGTAATGTCCCGGATATACTTCTGCAATCCCAAGCACACATACAATATGACAGAACATTTAACAGTGATTGTGTTACAGTTTTTCTTAAAAAATTTAAATATATAACTTGAGGGTAATGCATGATTTTGTAGCTTTAGTGGTTCAAAGTTTTAAAAGCAATAATTAGAGAAGAGACTCATCAGTTACGGTACGACGCGTATCTTCCAGTGAGATGCTAATTCCTAATTAGAGTGCGTGCAAACATTATAGGCACTCTGCACAAGAACAAAGGTCCCTCCCAGGGGACTTGTTTGTTATTTTGTTGGCTATGGTTGCTCTCATAGCTACTACTGTTTGAGTGCAATGTCAGATTAGATAGTGATTGGCAAATTAGTGGGACAGATATAGAGAAACAACACTTGCAGACACGCTATCCACCGCGAAAGCTTGTCCTCAATATATTCTGTTTTTATTTTGTGGTCAGTGTACTAGACTAGCTATTGTTAAGTTATACTCATCAAACCAGTAATAACATTTAACACATTATTGTGGTGGTTTAGGTTAAATTCTACTGTTATTAGTTGCAAATGAACAGTGCAACTGCAAATGAAAACACAGCCCCATCCTGCAAAAAAGTACCGGTTGACTATAAAGCACCACATCTGTGTATGTCTCTGCCTTTCCATTTAAAACTAAAGTGTGCATATGTCTGCCTCCTTACATTATCAAAGGTGTCGATGTGTTCCTCAATGCTCCGCTCCATAAATCCATTCATCCTTCGAATGTGCTGGACCATCTTCCTAAGAGATGGACTAGGAAAGTAGCGAAATACTGGGAAGAAATCTGCCAGGTTCCCCGCAGCAAAGATCCTCAGGACCTCGTTGTTGATGTGAACCATTGTGAGGAACTCCTTGTCGTTGTAGTCGTACCTTTTCCCAAAACAGAGGGCACAGACAACATTTGCCACTGAGGTTACCAGGGGCCTCACCGGATCTATACCCGTCTTTTCTTGGTCTCCTTTGGCAGCAGCCTGTTCCCGAATCACCTTCACCATCTCAGCTGCCTCCGCACAGACTTGCTCCTCCAACAGGCAGCTGGCCCCAAACCCTCTGGGCTCAGCCTGGGAGAAAGACCTGAGGGCGTTCTTACACAGCTTCTTATGGAGCATCCAGGCCGGTCCGTACTTCTCACTGAAGGTCATGCTGGTCCCATTGGCCACGGCAGAAAAGGTGAACAGGTCAGGCCTTCCGGCAAAAGCTTCTCCCTGCCGAACCAGCGCCTGTCTGATGGTGCTGTATCCACTCAGGACAACAATGGTCAAAGAGCCCAGACGTATCTGCAGTGAAGGAATGAACAGCATTATTTATTGAAACCTCTGTGTAACTAACAATTTCACACATTTGACTGTACCTTGAAAACATCGCCGTACTGGAGCCTCAAGTGGGTTAGAGAAAGATGAATCTGGTCCCCCATCTGTAGCAGATTGCCAACAAGGGGCCATGGTGTAGGGCCAGGAAGAGGAAGATATTTTGTGTGGTCCAATTGGGATTTGCGATGGCTCTTTCGGCCCCTGATGGCCATCAGGAGGAGAGTGATAAGACACAGAGCAACAGTGACACTAGACAGAGAGGCACAAAGGTTCTCTTTGATGGGCGGTGTCCCAAACGTCTGTCTCATCTTGCCAGAAAAGCTTCAAATACTAATAGAGAGGGGGAGGCTGTTAAAAGACACAGAAGGAAAACACTTGAAGAATGAAAAAGGACAAAGGAAATGTGGCAAACAATTTGGATAAAAATACTCACGATGCAGTTTCCTCCAGGTGTTAAAAAAGTGGATAGCTGGAAAACAGATACCAGAGATCTAGATACTCAGCAGGCAGAGGTTCGAGGTCTGGTCCTCAGGAACTTGTTGATGAGAGCAGCTCACAGTACGGGACATCCTTTATAGGAGTGACCGGCCCCCTGCAGAGGGAGCTGCTGCCCGCTCACAATAGAGAGGCGCACATGGCGAGAAACTTGGCACAGGGTGAAGGACGAGTCGTCCCGGCCAGCCAGTGAGCATCACGCACATTTGACAGCAGACCGGATCCATTCACAACAAGGGCCCCTCCTCTCCTGTGTCCCCTCTGGCCCTTGTGATGCCAGCGCCAGTTTGTTGCAGTGCATAGGTTTAATACATTAATTAATAATTAATAAAGTATTTTAGAAGTTATGAAATGTTTCAAAATATACAGGGATGAAGAAAAGCCAAGAAAACAGGCATTTTCAACCAATGGCCATCATTAATATATTTGCGAAAGAAACCATACACTTGAATTCAGGACGTTTATTTGTATAGAATAAAAAAAAAGATATAAGCAGTTTTATTTAATTAAAGGTACTACTTTTTTCTCACACAACCTCGGGTTGTTTTCTAAACAATGTAACCTCTATTGTGTGTCACAAGGGGGCGCTCTCCGTCTGCTTAGATTGACTTCATATTAATACTTTCTTGCCTCAGGCTTCACCAAAATCTCCCTAATCACTTCAGGCAGTGTGTGGGCAAAATAATATGAGCACCTCATAATGTATTTCAGTCCAATGCAACATACCAGACTGCCAAAAATAACCCCAAATAAATCTACACACCTCCAAAGCACTGAAATATAAAAGATTATTTCAAAGTTTCAGTCGCAAGCCTACAGTGTTCGTACTGTAGGTGCTTGCAAAACATTGCAATTGTGTATATATGTATTTATCATTTGTGCACCACAATTCAATAATTTAAAACCTGACAGATGCATATTCCTGTTCTTTTAGCAGTTTATTTTGTTTGTAATATTTACTTTGTGGCCTACAATTTCATTATCAAAGCGTTCAAGGTTTATCTCCATTTTTACCAGCTCTCTCCTCCCTCTTTTCCCACCTTCTCTCTTCTGCTTTAATCCCTCTTTTCTTTTCATGTCTGCCATACATCCTCCTCCCCACTTCTCTCACTATCTCTCACTCTCCATCTTTCATTCCTTTCATTCTTCTTTCTTTCTCACTCTCCATCAAACCGTCAATTTAGCTCAAGCTCAACTGTGGGACACCCGGTGCTGTCAGGCCCAGCGACAGCTCCTTTGACCCGCTGGTCCACGTCCTCTCCTGCTCCGGACTGGTCATTAGCTCGGCAGACAGACCCACACTGCCTCTGTGGAGCCAAGGGAAAGGGGAATTTGTTGCTCGTATTAAACAGCAAACCAAGAATCACAGATTGCCATAATTTGAAATGAACTCAACATGTGGCTAAACTATAAGGATGCTACTACCTCTGTGAAAATTGTGCTGTTATGATCACAAATTAATACCAGTTGTAATTTCTCAATGAGCCAGAAAACTTGAGATAGACACAAATGACTGAACCCCATTCCCTTCATAGCACAAGCTTCAATTCAAGCGAACAATTCAGCTCTACACATCAGTATGGGATGGTTTGCACTATGTGTTGCTGCACTGCCCAGCTACAGTTCTGCTGATCTTTTCATCGTTTAACAAGGGTTAATCACAGAGACTGTGTTGTCCTCGGGGGAAATTCTCAAAGGGATGTGTGTATTTCCAGAGAGCCAAGAATAAAATAGGCGCACCAGACAAAGTTATGTGGCCACATTGTTCCTGGGAGACAGTGAAGCAGCAGGAGTTCCCTTATCAAAGCAAACATCTTCCCAATTATGTTTGCTGCCATGTAGATCCTCTAACTGCATGTGCTGCCACGGCACAATTGAGTTGCAATGAAGCACTGGCAGCAATGCAACACGTGAGACTGAGAAGAATAAATGTCTGGTAGTGCTAAATTAAGGTTATAGAATTTTTTTTTTTTTTTTTGATCAGACTTGATTTAAAGAATTAACAAGATGCCTGTGATCTATTTCTCTATAGCCATGACCCAATACTGTGTTAATTATATATCAGTCATATTACTTATATTAATTACCCCATGAAAAGTATCAAAAACGTACAAAAACATGCACATGATGCCCAACAAGGCTGGAACAGCTAAAAACGTGTCACAGTTAGACCAGGTAAGTGGGTGATTTTGTGGGGGGAATTAAAGAGGGGTAATGCAAAGACATGCAGTGGTGGGAGAAATAGTGGATTTTATACTTAAGTAAAAGTAGCTATGCTAAAGTGTTAAAATACCCTGTTAAAATTAAAAGGCATGCATTCAAAATAAAGTATATCATTTTATAAAGTATTATAAAGTAAACGTACATCAAAGTAAGTACCAAAAGTAGAAGTACTCGTTAAGTTTAATCGCCCATTTTAGAATCATATTAATTCAATGGATTACAACTAGTGACGAGTTATTGTGTCACAGCTGGTAAAAGTAGCGCTTTTTTTCATTACTTTATTTTTTAACTATAATAATAAATCACTGTAAATGTTTATTTTATATTTTGTTTTAGATAATAATGTAAATCTGCAAAGTGAGTAACCATGTGAGATAAAAGTAGTGAAGTAAAACGATATATTTGGCCTTTAAAATGTAGTGGAAATTAAGCTTAAAGTAGCATGATATTAAAATACTCAGTTGTAAATCAACCCAGTCTCATGGCATTTCGTGTTCACCAACACGATTTTTAATCTATTGATTCGTGTTCCCCAACACGATTTGCCCCTTTTTTTCGTGTTGCACAGCACGATTTGTTTTCGTGTTGCACAGCACGATTTTAAAAGCAATGTATTTCTATTGCCTGCAGCACGTCTTTTTCTCCGGTCGGGTCGAGGAAGACCTGAAGCTGTGTGGTTCATAAAAACATGTTCTTACTCAATATCAAGCCACAATTATTGCTTTTATTTTAAATCGTATAATTTCTGACTTTTGTTGCCGTCTGTGAGGAAAATAAATGGGGCTCAGAGCCTCAGAATACTGAAATCTGTATTTTTTAAACATTTTTTTCCTTCTAATTTGTTATTCTTTTCAAAATAACACACTGTTATTTACTCACCAATAACACACAATTATCCTTGATTTTATTTATTGGTTTAATTCCATAATCTCGGGCTTTTTTGGCGTCCGTCAGGAACTGAATTTCAAAATAAAATATCCGGAAACAGACGTAGGCCTATAAGGGACATTTCGAGCGTCATTGCGATTGTCAACCTTTCTGAGTTTAGGATGGCCGAAGACACTACACTACCCATAATCCCCAGCTATCGTTTAGGACTACAGTCCCCCGTAAGGTTACGCAGAGCGTCAAACAGCTGTGTGAAATGGAACGAAACCACGCCAGACTATCCAAAACTGGAATCGAACGCCCCCCCAGAACTACACATGCTGGATGCTGGCTATTGTGTTTCGCCAAATGTTCTATGGGACGTCTCTACTGAACGTTTTCGTTTTTCCCACAATTAGAAGTTGCCAGTATTAAACACATTGGTGTTATCAAATGTAAAACTATTATATATTATTTATTATAATTAATAAATGGGTGAAAATCGCTATATATACCCACATGACAGCTCATTGTTACTTTGTAACTAGCCCATCTAGCCCGTCTCCATCACCGTGCCTACGTCGACCACCTCCCCTCCCTTCGAGGGGGCTTCTGCAGTCTCCGAAGCCTGATAAGGATGTGTGTGTACAAAACACAACAAACTCTTACTGATATGTGATGGGTCCAGGCTCAAGGGCGTATATGGCACTCTCAACTCTTTCCAGGACATGTCGGGGCCCTGCCTGCCAGTAGCTTTGCCGATATCTGTGTTGATAGGTAATAGATTAAGAGCGGTGAATCATAGAAACAGGAAGCGCTCAAACGTTTGTGTGAGTGTATCTAATTTAGCAGTGATTCCATGTCAGCCACAGCTTGTTACAAAAAACATGACTGATAGTGTGTTTAACAAACTTAAACTAGCTTATTAAATGTCAGGTCTTTGGCAGGAAAAACATTTTTAATCAATGATTTTATCACTGAGCACAATCTCGATTTTATGTTTTTAACAGAAACTTGGATTGAACAAAATAACAGTGCAGCTGTTCTTATCGAATCAACCCCTCCCAACTTTAGTTTTATGAGTCAGGAAAGAATGCATAAGAAAGGGGGTGGAGTTGCTATTCTGTTCAATGATTCCCTTCAATGCAGGAAGACATCGTATGGAAACTTTGATTCTTTTGAATATGTGGCCCTCCGGCTGAAATGCTCCTCTCGAGCTCTGTTCCTAAATATCTATAGACCACCCAAATACTGTGCAAGATTTTTTTGATGACTTTACTGAACTGATGTCTATAGTGTGTATTGACTTTGACCGTCTAGTCATTGTTGGTGATTTTAACATCCATGTTGACAACCCCCAGGACAGAGGGGCAAAAGAACTGTTTTGTGTTCTTGATAGCTATGGACTGACTCAGCATGTGACGGAGCCCACGCACAATAAGGGGCACACTCTGGACTTAATTATCTCAAAGGGTCTGAATATCTCTAAGGTTGTGGTGACTGATGTTGCACTCTCTGACCATTCCTGTGTTTTCTTTGAGAGCTCTATTTCTGTTCACAAAAATGTTCAAAAAGAGGTAACCACAAAGCGATATTTAACTGAAAATACTAGGGAAATGTTTACTCAGAATTTCTCTTCCACACTTGCCCCCTGCCAACATCTCAGTAAATGAGCTAGTAGATCATTTTAATTCAAAAATTAAAAATGTTATAGATGCCATTGCTCCAACTAAGGTAAAGGAAGTGTCTGGCAAGAAAATATCTCCATGGAGAAAGGCCATGACCGTGAAAACAGAAAAAAGAGAATGTCGAAAAGCTGAACGCAGGTGGCGAAAAACAAATCTCCAGGTTCACTTTGAAATCTATAAAGAGAGACTTGGCCTTTATAATTTGGAATTGAAAAACGCACGACAATCGTTCTTCTCTGACATCATTACCAAA